CCTTACGTGTACATGGATGGCGTTGTGAGCGGAAGGTAATGGTATTGTTTCAGAAGGACTTAGGAGCTAATGAGCACATTCTCTCTTATGGTAGCTCCATTCTGGAAGATTCTTCGAGCCTTTCGAGCCTTGACATTTCTGATGGAGCCTCGCTCGCTATAAATGCTAGACTTCTCGGAGGTAAGTTCCCATCACACATTGAATTATATTTTTAATCGTATTTTTATATTTATTTCTGATTATGGGTGAATAATTGATTTTGTTCGATATTCATCCAAACCGCCCTTTGTGGAAGTAGTGCTAAAAGCGTTCACAGTGTTTGGCTTTCACCAATTTTTTCGAACCATCTCCCTTATATGCAGCGTAGCCATTCGTCGTTGAAATAATGCCCCTCTTCTTCTGCCGAGCCCTTCTTGTACATATACCCATATCCTACGTGCAGTCGGCAAGGAGCAATCTAGCGCTAGTTTTGGCCAGAAGGATAAACTGGGCTTGGAAAAGTGGGTCGACAGGGGATTAGAGCTTAAGTTAGGCTGCAGTTATGTGACTGTACTTGAACTTTATTGAAAGTGGGCAACAGCAACATTTTTATTCAAAACATTGTTGCTGTTGCCCTCTTTCAATAAAGTTTAGGTGAGGTTGCCGACGTCCTTGGGATAGCCTATAGAATAAAGCGTATCTTGTGGGAGTCCCAATTGTCTACCCACATGGCTTATCATTTACCTAACAATTCTGGAAGAATAAGTTGATCGTGTGATTTTCATCAGTGGTGGAAGTTTGGCGAGTAGCGAAATGTGCTGCTGTACACTTTTGTTAGCTCTGTCAAACGGAGGCATTGGAAATGAGTTGAACGATAAACTCATCCTCAACAATCGTTGCGTTGGCTTTCTGCCTCCACTTTTCCTTTCCCATTTTCTCTCGAATCACAATATTCAAATGATGTTGATTAGCCACGTAGATAGGATCGCAGAGTAATATTTGAATGTGTAAGGGTGTGGCATAAAAACACCGCAATTCGAAAAGTGGGGACCCTTTCAGCGCTGTTTTTTGACAGCAACCTATTTTGAATAAGATCGCAATTTCATTTTTTCGTGGTAGATGCTGAGGTATTGCACTCCGACCCAAGCTAAACGGTGTTAAATCTAGAGCCAGGCGTGATTCTGCTAACAAGTGTGTGATTGTAGACGTAGCGCTTTTTCGAACCTGGAACCCATGGATGTAGGGTCAACGTATTGTTCAGAGTGGTAGACATATCAGGACAGACATTGTCGTTTTGAACAGTTTCTGGAGTGATTGAACTAGCCAAATTCATGGGAATAATTCACATTTCTCAAACGATAAAGCTATATCGTGAGTATGATACTTGTGTGGTGTGTGAGTAATTTCTTATGTAATGCCTGGGGCATATGGCTCGTTTTTTTTGTTTTGTACTGTGCAAAAACATTGCATATTCCCAGGTAAGCGTCCACGATCGTTTTGGCTCGTGCCGGAAAAGACGTCAGCTCAGCCAAAGGTTGAGAAACCAGGAAGAAAAAGAACGAAGAAGAAGCGGTAAGGCTTCGTTTCGATTTTGTTTGTATGCATGAAGCAACTAATATTTTAATTAGGACGTGCGGCACGACGAATTCAATACACGAGAAGATTCGTCAATGTTGCGACTGGACCAGGAAAGAAGCGTGGACCCAACTCCAATGCTGCTTAATCTGTTTGCTGTTTGCCGGCCCGCCTTAAAAAAAAGATAACTTGTTTATGCGCCTTCGTCAGTTGCGGCAATTCGAATAATCGTGAATCACGACAATACCTGTTCCGAATTTGGAAACTGATGCACAGATGGAAATCGAAGTAGCTTGGCTTACAGCTTAATTTCGACTCAGAAGAGAGTGCAGCGTATCGTCCGAAGGTTAGTGGAACTTGTGATGTCGGAGGAATTGCTCCGTAAATTTCTCGATGACATCGAAGAGGGTTAGTTACAAAATTTCTTCTGTGTGCAGTTGAGCTCACATACGTTTTTAAGTGTTCGATATCTCCACTACCTGATAAGTTTGGTTTGGTAGCGGCATTTTCGGTGGCTGTTCAATTTGGAGTAGCGGGCTCGGCCTGTGGGTTTGGAGTTAACAAGGCAAAGTGGAGCATTGGGAATTGTCCGATGTTAGGAATCGCACATGGAAAGTTTTGTGTTCGTTCTGCACAATGCGTCATGTGTCACAATGTTTGCACGGATCACCTTCCAATCCTTCTATTTTTCGACGAGAAACAGGCTAAAAACGACTTTTTGTTGACAGACAACTGAGCAAAGGGAGCTCATGGAACGAAGCAGGTGGAAGGTGGGGGAGGGAGGCGTGAGGGAGCTCGGACGGGCGCGTACGAGGTGGCGCATCTCGGGATCGGACTAATTTCAGCTTCCCGGAGATGAGTGGGTAGAGCCAACCTTCAAGCCCGATAGATGCAGATATATATTACAGGGATGAATTGCAATAGTTGTGAAGGCTAGAGAAGTTTTGAATTACGGCACCATGAATCAAATGGAAGTGATCTTGCTGCCAAAATTGTCAGAGTTCTACGATGAGGATTTGAAAGAGTAGTAATATTATCATTTCTGGGAGCCCGTTCTTAGCGTGAATGCAGGGCATCAAGCCATCAGTTTGTGGGAATCCTGCTGTTTCCATGCAATCACTTCTCACAAAGCTGAAAAGCTCTTCTTGCAGGGGACTTTATCCACCCACCTTGAATTTCCTTTCTGTTGGGCTTGGGCAGAAAAATCTCATCACTGGCTCACGGTTTTTCATCGTACCGTGTGGCACCAAAGGAAGAAATCGTGTTAAGATTTCTTCGAGGGATCTTCTCGGAAAACCGAAATCACAGTAATCTGCACTAATTGTCAGACTACAGTGCTCCCCTCCCCTGTGTAAGCCGCTTACTGTCAATTTAGGATACTTCGAGGCCAGATTCCATATGTATTGGAATGTGTTCCCATGTAAAAAATCAAACAACAAATGGATCGACTCATTCCCAAAGGTGCGATGCAAAGTGCAGTTAGTTTGAGCTGAGTTTGAGCACCCCTGATTTATTTCGTGGGTTTTCTTTAACAGGCAGTCATTGCTAGTGTTAAACGACCCACTGATCGGAGTGCGATCATCCACGAGCTAGTGCCATTTCGAGGTCCATGAAGATGAGTATAAAATTTATGTCATATATGAAGCGGTAGATGCATTCGGAACGATGAGGTGATCCTTCAGTAGAGGACATTTATGAAAAGGATGAAGCCTGACTCTTGAGAGATTGTGCGGTATAATCACAGGTCGTAAATCTTCACGGCTTTCAGAAGATGGTCTTATCAAGAAGGCAAAGCAAAAAACGGTCAAAGCAGGAGTTGCGCGTGATGAGCATATAAAGCGAATTCTGGTGGCTGCCTTCGAAGGAACAGGTTAGATTTCCCCGCAATTTAGGGGAAAAAAAAAATTTTTAAAAAACCGTTTGGGGGCGCTGTGTAAATCAAGCTATGCCATGTACTTATTAAGGTTGAATTGCCGCCTGAGGAAAGTTATATTGTTGAACGGCGAAAACGACATGAGAGCTTCGAATTCGATGATAGATTAGCGCAGCAGGTTGGTCTTTTCAGAAGGAGTGGCTTGGAAATTTTTGTACAATTCATATTTCACTTTTCATTTCCCCGCAATATAATTAACTTGTTGGAGCACCACGAGATTTTTGAATGTCGTTGGCTTGTTTGTCCTATATTACATGTAGGCAGAGAGTATTTAATTCACTTTTTCATTTTTCTCTCCTTATTCATCTGTCAGTCAGTTCTTTGCGAAAAAGCATGGCGCAGTCTTCAGAGAAGCTAAAAAAAATACTCTACGAAATTGTCCTGTATTGTACATATTTATAGATATGATTTTTAGGTAATACAGAGGGACTTCTACAGATAATGAAATAATAGTTGATTCGGACTTTTCAGGGATTCTCTCTTATTGAACAAGCACGTGCGCAACGGCCGGCAGATTTATTGCAACGAAATCTGAAATACATGAAATATACGGATAAAAAGAGGAAACTCGACAAAAATAAAGCTAAGAAGATAGTTCTGGAGCATATGAGGAAGAAAACCTCAAAGAGAGTTGATACGAAAAGAACGAAGTAAAATTACCGGTGAGTTGTAAGTTATCTGATTTTGTGAATCGCTGAAACACTGTGTTCTTATTTGATTGACTTGCCTGCCACTTCTACGTCGTTGTAAATTCTTTCCGCTTAGGTCTTCGTGAGCCGAAGAACGAAAAGAAGAAAGACGAAAGCGTATTCAGTGATGCTGATTTTGCTGTTGTTGGAAAGAAGAAGAAGAAGTTGGAAAAGATCCCTGTCGAGTATTTGTAAGTATAGACCTGTACTTGTTTTGTTGTCTGTTGACTGATGTAATATAGTTTATTACTTGTTTATATCAATACGAATACATTGTTTTTCATCAATTTCTATGTTTGTCTTTGTGTCTTCAATAGGGGAAATAGGTCGTATTGCCATATGCGCGCAATACTCGCCGCCGTCGTCTACCAAGGGCAAGGATGTACACATATTTTCTGTGAGCAAACTGTCCTCATAGAAGGGCGAGCCACTGTTCAGGTGACCAATTCACTCGTCCTTTTCAAAAATTGTCTTTATAACACTTTGGAGACCGCGCGTGTTTTACGTTCCGCGGCCGCGCGGGACTTCGGTGAAATTTTTAGGGATCTTATCTAGCAAATTCAAAAGAAGAACCCACTGTATAATGCAGAAGAAATCTTATCGGATAAAATGGAAAAGAAAATGAATGAAAAACCTAATAATTGTTTACGAAATGCGAGCTGAAAGGTCCTATGCGGTCGGAGGACTGCAGCCCACATATGGGCTGCGTGGGCTCCAAGGTGTTAATTCATACGCTCGTAGCGGCCATCTCATTCATACAGTGCATTGTAATCCTGTAGGTAAACTTGACTTACCATTTTTACTTTGTTTTTATTCGATAGCTGCTGTTTACGCTGCAATAATTCATGTTATGGTACCTTTACCATCCGAGCTA